TTTTAGGCACTTTCTGAGGATGCATTTGTCAAGGAGTGGAGAAAGATTTCCAAAGATGGATATTTTCCCCTTGTCCCCCGGTGTTTTTAATTCTAATTTCGTTGGAATTGATCAAAACTCCCTAAAATGTGCAATTTTTTTAGGAAATTGGGTCATGTTAACAAGAAATGCGCGCGAAATTTGAGGTTTTTAGGCACTTTTGAGTGGATGAAAGGGCATTTATAAAGGGGGGGTGTGGGGAAGATTTTTCAAAGATAGATATTTTCTCCTTGTCCCCCCAGTGGTTACGCCATCAGGCAGCATAGATCAAAGGAGTTATGACAGTTTTTGAAGTGGAGAAGGGGTTGCATGGGTGTTATGAGTCTGGTCATTATGATATCTTCCTTTTTATTCTTGTCTTAAGTTACTTTTCTCTTCTATTTTTCTTTCCTTTTCTTTTCCTCTTCTTTCTCTTTCCCTCCCTCTCCCCTCTTTTTTTTCTGTTATTACCCAGCCCGGTACGACGGCTTGGTAGGCCCGGTAAAAACCGTCAGTTGAGGGGCAGTTTTCCCCCTGCCCCCCCCCCCGCGCCTGTTACGACACTGGCTAACACGCCAATCATCCCCCCCAATGAAAAATATTTTTCTACGCCACTGCTTGAATGCATCCATATCAGCTTCAGTTTTAAAATTAGCGAATACTAAAATGTCACTCATTACGTACGGTATTACCGCATTAAATGCTGCAGTCTCATGAGATAACGGGAAGCAGTAGTGGGGCCAAGATTCGACCTAAGGGGACCAACATCTCCGACGGGGGACCGGGATCACGGAAATGCCAATTTGGCCGACGCTAGTATAAGTAGTGGGAGCAGGAACAGCCCAGAAACCCTCAGAGTGATTCAGGCAGGGGTGGCGCCAGCGGGGAAGAAAAAGGACAATTCGTCGGGGAGAAAAAAATTATATGTATTTTCTACATAATTAATAGACTCTAAAATCGAATAAATAAGCCTTTGTGACCCCTAAATTGTCAATTTTCCCCCTGCACCACTTTCGAAGCCTTTTAATCGAAGTTCGACCACGCCCACTTTGCTTTCATCGGGGAAATCTGACCCCTCGTCGGGGGGGGGGGGAATCGCCCTCCCCCGTCGGGGAATTCGAACACACCCCCACCCAAACAACCCGTCGGGCATAACCTTGGCGCAAACCTGTATTAAGGGCGAAAAGCCCTCAGAAACTACTCGACAATATGGGGTTTGAAATGTTAATTTATTGATTTATTAATCTCAAATACTGTAAAATTTAGGTATTTTTACCGTGTTGGGGAAAAGGGGGTTGCGGCGGTTTCTCTTCCAGACGAGGTATTGTCACCACCACCACTTTTAATTCATAGCATGACCTGCACTCTGATTTGAAAGTCATTGAACTCTACCTATATGCTGCTGTATTGTGTGCATCCATCAGAAGTCTCATATATAAAATAAAAAAAAGAATAATCATTTATAGCACTTGAATCATAGGTACTTCTCAAAAACTTGTATAAATTAATGATTTGGAATTAAATTTAAATATTGATGGGCAAAAGATCAAAATGTGTAAAGCATTGCAAAACACCTTGGTATCATAATTGATGATAACCTCTCTTGGAATGACCATTGAATATGTAAAAGGTAAGGTACTGCATGGACTACTACCTGAAAAAAGCAAATTCTATCTTACCAAAAGATATACAATACACAAAGTATACATCACTAACTGCTCCTTTGCTGACCTAAGTTACAAACTTCAGGTCATGCAAAACAGAGCTGCCAAAATAATAATGACTAGGGGTGAGTGAGCAGGGAAGCCTTACAGAGCCTTAACTTAGATAATTTGAGAGGAGGCTGTATCAAAATGAGGCCATCACTATGTTCAAAATTACCAATAATTTAGCACCAACTTACCTAACAAGCAGATTCAATATTAAAGGATGTCTTTAGGACACCAGATCTGAAAATCATTTAACATTACCCAAACCAAAAACAGATCATAAAAAAACGTAGCTTATCATACATAGGTGCTAAATTATGGAATGAACTTAGTGATGACCTCAAAAACTCAAATACAATTTTCAATTTTAAAATGAAAATAAAAATCAATTAAAGTATTATAATTAATGATGTAAGTGTATTTAAGATAGGCCTAATTCACTTTAGTTAATGAATTTAAGTTTCAAATAGATGACATTAGAGAAATACCTTCATGCATGGTCACAGAACACAATTAATAGACTAAAAAATAATGTACATATACACTTTTTGACATTGTTCAGGTTTTTCTGTGTCGTTAGAGAAGTAAGTATTTTCTTTTTACACTAGAGTATAACGAAAAGAGCAAGGGCGACAGAACAAGATGTGTATAAGAGACCAGGATAACACAGTCGTCGTGACTCGTGACAGTCGATGAAGGAATTTTGACGGACTAGGCCTACTGCTTACAATTATCTATGAGGTCACCCTAAGAATACACACCTTTCTCGGTTGAAGTCGAGGTATTTAGCAACTACCCAATGAACTCATAGGTACACTTTTTTCTTTTCTCCTTCCTCCCTTTCTTCTTTCCTCGCCTCACTTTTGTTAGTCTCCCTTTTATATTTTTCGGTGAAGCTGAAGGCTGTCTCTTATACACATCTAGATGTGTATAAGAGACAGTATATATATATCGTGGGAGGGCGTATGCTTGGCGATTTCGTAGAGGCGCTTTTGTTTGGAGGGTATTTTGTTTGAGGGGTAATTTAATAGTTTGCATTAGACATGTGAATCCTCTCTTTGCTTTGCTTCCAAGCCTCGCACACCACATTGCATTTTCCCGCCATCCTCCCCTGCTTCCTCCATACTTATCAGTGCACTACGGTATGTGCGCGTGCACCCAGGTTATTAGTAATTAATTAGTTTTTAGGTACAATATATTGATTTGATGCTTCATTGTTAAATTAACGTTTTAAAACTCTTCATGTACGATTTATATTGTAATCGCCATTGAAGTATTTTATGTATTGTTCACGTGTCAGGTGTATGCCGAATGTAACAGTCTGAACTTATATAGTTATATATACTCTTTATGTTTATCTTATATAATATGTATAACTCTTAAATTTATTCTTTAGGGGCAGCCTTACGTTCCCATTCTATAAAATGTTTAGCTAATATAACAACATCAATGGGTGGCTGCCCCATTACACATTTTGAGTTAACTATATAATAAATTGTTTTTCGTCATTGAATTATATATATATATATATATATATATATATGTGTGTGTGTGTGTGTGTGTGTGGGTGTGTGTGTGGGTGTGTGTGTGTGTGTGTGTGTGTAAAGAAGAGGAATCTGCAAGTGCAATTAACAGAGATCCCTATGATACGATCTCTTCTTATAAGCATTTAACGATAAGATAATGTCTTCGAAAAAGTAATTTTACTAAACCATAATACGATGTAGAGTTCAACTCTAAACCGTCTAGCGGTAATGTTATATTGATACACAAATTTTAAACGTTAAAGAAGAGGAATCCGCGAGTTGCCCCAATAGGGATTTAAAGACAGGGCCCTCTGCTGTTTGTGTACAAAAATAATTTATTAATTATTATAAATTATTAAGCACTTATCGATTAATTTGTACCTGGGTTGGTGTGGGTTTTATTACCAAGTTATAGATCAATTGCATCCAACCTGTAGTAGGCAATATTCTTCCAGCCATCACACTGTTATAGGAAATACAATTACTATGTACTAATAATAATAATAGTAATAATATTATTATTATTACTGAAAAAGAAACATATAAATTATTATTTGTATTCTATTATATTTATTATATTGTATTATATTTATAATCCACATTAAATTCATAATTATTCTTTTAACAGACTGGCAATCGACATTTCGAAAAACAAATTCCTTCACAAAATGCAAATATGGACAAGTTTACCAATTTTATATAATTTTATATAATTTGAGAACTGAGTAAGCAACATATAATATCCTACCTTTGAAATTACTAATCTTGCTCGTTCGTTACGTATACGCTCTAAACTAAATTTGTGATGACGTGCTAGGTGCATCTCTCCATCTAAGCTTAGCGGAAGGCATAGTAATGCATATGATTAAGACGATTCTAGGCGAGTTCTTTGTATTATTGTGCAATAGTGAGCAAATTTTAAGAATAGGCGCCTCTAAATTTTTAGAAATGGCACTCTCAGACGTCATATTCAATAACTCCTTTTATTTTTTTCATCCTCTTAATGGTGGGGGGTGGGGGAGTTGCTGAGGCACACTGAACACCTACTCCCCCAACCCCCACCCCCAGATACGCCACTGGAAAATGCTGTTTTACATGAGCCTACTACACCTATTCCGTAATAATAATAATTTAAAAAAACATAAACAACCTGACATTGCAAAAAATAATAAAATTTTTGGAGACCAGTTTTAACCAAAAAGTGAACCAAATCGCTGTAGCAAGCCGGTTGACCCAACACAAAATTTAGCTACAGGATAACACAGTCGTCGTGACTCGTGACAGTGGATGAAGGA